CTTTGTTTAATCTATGATTATGCATTCAACCTTAATTTTTTTTTTGTATTTCTTCATTTTCTATGAGTAGCTAAATCTTTAGCTAGGGTTGTAATCCAACCCTAGTGTGGGTTCTTAATGGGTATTTAATTTTAGGGCTTGTTTGTGATTGGGTTAGTGATATCTAGCCTTGTTTATGCTTAAATTATAGAATTAATGGTTGCAAACATTGATTCATGCCTTTTTGACCTAGTCTTTGCTTGAGAAAGAAAGACTAGGTTTAGGAAAATTTGGCTAGCAAGGTATTGGGGTGAATTCAAGAAATTGATAGCCCCAATTAAAGGGTTTAATCTAGAAATAGTAAGATCCGACTTGAGCATATATCACTTGATTTGAGCAAATACCCATTTGGGCTTGAGAAAGCCAAATCGGGCAAAATCACTCAAACTAATGAGAGGTATAGAGTGAGCAATTGCGTGTGTATACCACGAATCCAATAAATCAAACTTGCCCTATAGTTTACAACCCGTTAGGTAGCCACCTAGGTGGAAGTCACGACCCTAGATTCCTTTATCAATTGAAAAATAACGCAAAACCAAAAATATTGTCCGTTAGTTTTATCTTTGCATTCAATAGAGTAAAGTAGAAGTAATACACCAATCAACATTGTGGAAGTACAATTTAAGCCAAAACTTGCAATCAACTTAGATATACACCTAATCCCATATTCTAACTCCATGTGGATTCGATCCCGACCTTTGTTAGATTATTATTGCATCGACTGCCTCACTACTTAATTATGGTGAGGATTTGGCCGAGATCAATTTTTGGCGCCGTTGCCGGGGAGCACTACCTAGTGATACAGTGGTAAACCCGAAGGGTGGGAATAATATGGGACATGATATGGCCGTGACTACTAGAAGTGGAAAAGGTGGATATGCAACCACCACAAATCAAAGAAGGATTGTGGATGAAGATGTTGTGGTTCAAGAGGATGAAATCCCAAGAAATGTGGTTCAAGCGAATGAAGAAGTGAGAATTTATATAGATGAAAGTGTGGAGGATACGCAAGAAGAGGTGAACCCGTCTAGGGAACACGTGATTGACATGCCGGAACCGGTGGGGCTAAAAGCTAAGGCACCAATGCCAAGGCCTCCTCCTCCACACCCTCAAAGGCTTACAAAGCAAAACAATGAGAACCAATTCAAAAAGTTTATTGATATGATGAAGAGTTTGTCCGTAAATGTGCCATTGGTTAAGGCATTGGAGCAAATGCCGGGTTATGCAAAATTCATGAAAGATTTGGTAACCAAGAAAAGTTCAATGAATTGTGAAACCATCAAGACGACTCATCAAGTGAGTGCTATTGTGCACTCAATGGCTCCTAAGTTGGAAGATCCGGGAACTTTCACCATCCCTTGCACTATTGGGAGCGCCGATTTTGCAAAAGCATTATGTGATCTCGGGGCAAGTATCAACTTGATGCCCTACTCTGTATTCAAAACTTTGGGAATTGGGCAACCAAGACCCACATCCATGAGGTTGCAAATGACGGATCAGACAATGAAGAGGCCTTTGGGTATCATTGATGATGTATTAGTTAGAGTTGACAAGTTCATCCTTCCAGCGGATTTTGTGATCTTATATTATGAAGTGGACTATGAGGTGCCTATCATTTTGGTTAGACCTTTCCTTGCTACGGGGAAGGCGCTTGTTGATGTGGAGGCCGGTGAGCTCACTTTTTGGGTGGGTGAAGAAAAGGTGGTCTTCCATGTGTGCAAATCAATGAGGCAACCGAATAGTAATGAAGTTAGTTAATTTGTGGATCTGGTGACCGACGTGATAGTTGATGATGCTAGTGCAACAATGAATGTTGAGGACAAATTGGAAGCAGTTTTGCTAAATCTTGATGATGATGAGGAGAGTGATGGCTATGTGGAGTGTGTAAATGCATTGTAAGGCATGAGGTCGTACACTTATGAACCCCGAAAGCTATATTTGGATCTTGAAAACCGGAAGACTCCTCCAACAAAACCCTCAATCAAGGAGCCTCCTACCTTGGAGTTAAAGCCATTGCCACCGCACCTCAGGTATGAATTCCTTGGCCCTCCCTCTACTTTACCAGTTATCCTTTCTTCGTGCTTAACTAACGTGCAGTTAGAGTCCACTTTGGAGGTGCTACAAAGGAGAAAAAAGCCAATCGGTTGGACTTTGGTGGATATCCGGGGCATAAGTCCCGCCTTTGCATGCATAAGATTATCTTGGAGGAGGGTGCCAAACCCTCCGTTGAACATCAAAGAAGATTAAATGAAGCAATGCAAGAGGTGGTGAAGAAGGAGATAATCAAGTGGTTAGGTGCCGGGGTTGTGTACCCTATTTCTGATAGCTCGTAGACCTCTTCGGTGCAATTTGTCCCAAAGAAAGGGGGCATGACTATGGTGATAAATGACAATAATGAATTGATCCCAACAAGAACCGTCACCGGATGGAGAGTGTGCATGGACTATAGGAAGCTCGACAAAGTTACTCGGAAAGATCATTTCCCGCTTCCGTTTCTTGACCAAATGCTTGATAGGTTGGCCAGACGTGCTTTTTATTGCTTGCTTGATAGATACTCCGGCTATAACCAAATTCTTATTGCTCTCGAGGACTAAGAGAAGACCACTTTCACATGTGCTTATGGTACTTTCTCATTTTCAAGGATGCATTTTGGGTTGTGTAATGCACCGACGATATTTCAACGGTGTATGATGGCTATTTTCACCGACATGGTGGAGGACATTCTTGAGGTTTTCATGGATGATTTTTCTGTGGTTAGAAATTCGTTTGAAGAGTGTTTGAACAATTTGGATAGGGTATTGGCTAGATGTGAGGAGACCAATTTGGTGTTGAACTGGGAAAAATGTCACTTCATGGTCGAGGAAGGCATTGTCCTCGGCCACAAAATTTCAAAATATGGTATTGAGGTTGACCAAGCTAAGATTGAGGTGATCTCCAAACTCCCTCCTCCTACATCCGTGAAGGGAGTGAGGAGCTTTTTTGGTCATGCGGGTTTTTATCTCCGATTCATCAAGGACTTTTCCAAGGTGGTAAACCCTTTGTGCAAACTTTTGGAGAAGAATGCCAAGTTCCATGTCCATGAAGATTGTATGAAGACATTCGAGTTGCTTAAGTTCAAGTTGACTACTAGTCCTATTATCACCGCTCCAGATTGGAACTTGCCTTTTGAGCTCATATGTGATGCTAGTGATGTTGCGGTTGGAGCGGTGTTGGGGCAAAGAATCAACAAAATCTTCCATCCGGTCTACTATGTTAGCAAGACCACGAATGATGCTCAAGTCAACTACACAATGACCGAAAAGGAGCTACTTGCTATTGTGTTTGCCATGGATAAGTTCCGGCCGTATTTGATGGGTACTAAGGTGATTGTGCACACCGACCACGCGGCGTTTCGGTATTTGATGAGCAAGAAAGATTCTAAGGCACGGTTGATGCAGTGGGTGCTTCTTTTGCAAGAGTTTGATCGAGAGATTCAAGACCGCAAGGATAGTGAGAATCAAGTGGCGGACCACTTGTCCCGTTTGGAGGAGGAGACGGCCTTGAGATCAATGATTCATTTCCCGGAGAGCAACTCCTATCCATTTCTATGATGGGGATGCCATGGTTCGCCGATCTCGCCAATTATCTTGTGAGCGGCATTGTACCGAATGAGTTCTCTTCAAACCAAAGAAAGAAGCTCAAACGGGATTGTTTGGATTACTATTGGGATGAGCCGTATCTTTTTTGAATATGTACAGATGGTGTGATCCGGCGATGTGTGCCGGAAGAAGAACAAATGGGAATTCTTGAAGCTTCCCACTCTTCATCGTATGGTAGTCATCATGGTGGAGCTCACACGGCTACAAAGGTTTTGACTTGTAGATTCTATTGGCCTACCCTCTACAAGGACGCTAGTGAGCTTGTCAAGCATTGTGATGAATGCCAAAGGGCCGGTGGGACCTCAAAGAAGAATGAAATGCCTCTCACCACCATTTTGGTCTATCTTCGACGTGTGGGGTATTGATTTCATGGGTCCATTTGTTAGTTCTTGTGGGAACACATACATTCTAGTCGCGATTGATTATGTTTCCAAGTGGGTCGAGGCCGTTGCTTTGCCCAACAATGAAGCGAGGAGTGTGGTGGCATTCTTGAAGAAAAGCATTTTAGTAAAGTTCGGTACTCCGAGGGCCATTATTAGCGATGGGGTTTCGCATTTTTGCAATCGGGCTTTTGATACCTAACTCACCAAGTATCACTACTAGAAAATTCACCTATGGCTACGCATGGAAAACCGTTGCAACAGATAGGTAAACCGTTGCCATAGATATATTGCAACGGTTCAGTGCCCGTTGCTGGCGTTCCTATAGAGCTTATGGAACAGTTCAAATAACCGTTGCTATAGTATAGTCTATCGCAACGGTTTTCCCTCTTCATGTTGGAACGATTGTTGTTATCAACGGTTAATATCCGTTACCATAACGTTAAATGCAACGGTCAATAACCGTTACTATATCTATTAAACTGTTACGGCTATTATAGAAATGGCAACGATTTCTCTAAGATATTGCAACGGTTGAACTACCTATTGCAACGATTTTTAGATTATTTTGGAACGGTTTGCAGGTCCTATGGCAACGGTTGAACTACCTATCCCAACGACTTTTAGGTTATTTTGGAACGGTTTGCAGGTCCTATGGCAACGGTTCTGTTAGCTATTGTAACAGTTTAATTGAATTGAAAATATTGCCCCCTGTTGTAAATAAAGATATATATATATATATATAATAAACTATAAAATACTAAAATTTATATAAATAACAAAATGAAACTGTTCATAATCCAAATTGTCCAACAAGCTAATAATAAATCCATAGACAATGATGAAATGTTACCAAGTACATACATTTGATATTTCAAGAGTTAAAAGTTTTAAAATGTTTTGATAACAAACATTCCTATAAACCACCACATGCATCTACAACAATCAACAATTCTAAATTCTCCTAAGTAAGGTCAAGATCTTCATCATTGCCTCCGTCTTCCATTTTTTCATCTACTCCACCTACAAAGAGTATAAATAAAGTCATTATCCCTTCAAGAGAATCCTATCTAAAATTCTCTTAGCCCAATTCTCTTAGCACAAACACAATGAAGTAAACTAGCTTAGATGTACAAGACTTAATTAGAGAAAAAATAGGAAGCAAAGAAGCTGAGAATTTTTTCCAACAAGCACGATACGCGGTAGCCTTGGGAAGCAATAATTTCACCAATAATTACTTAGTGCCAGTTTACAGTGACTCATGGACTTACAATGATAAATCTTTCATTCAATATCTAATGGAAACTCTCAGAGCACAACTTATAGAATAACAAATAAGATGATCCAGCAATTATTATCCACAGCAATATAATCACCATGCTGTAATTTGTGTATGGTTCAACATTGCCAGAAAGAATAATTGATAGATTCCTTAGAGAAATCCATTTATAGAAATTTTGTTGTCCATATTCTAGACTCTAACATGGCTTAAAGAAAGGCAACCAACACAGATATCACCACCATCCAGCAGGGTGCTGACACTAAACATTTTGCAACTAAAAGCCATAGTTAACCATGTGACATACTCTGAGAAATTATTTTTTCTTCTCTCACTTTTACGCTGATTATGCTGATACTACAATGATGTGAATTTGAATATCAAATGTATGCTAATTACAGTACATGTCTTACACATGACGCAGTAATGAATATCTCTACTTAATACATTTTCCTCACAGAAATAAGTATATTTTAAGCAATCAGTAAATTTAAGATATTACATTTAATTTTAGTGTTAACTGTTGTAGTAACAGTATGTGCTGCAATTGATAAATGGTCTTTTCCTCTTTCTTTCCCGTATTGGAAAGAAAATATAGTGAAGGAGAGTTACAGTACTCGTAATATACCAATAGATAAAGATGACAGAATATGGTGTAAACAGAATAATTAGTATTCACATGCTACCTCCAATGTTTCTCCACTAAGTAAGAGATTGTTCTTTGTGTTTATATCTGGAGTTGTGCGCCTACCTCAAGAATTAGTTCCATTTATGGCAAAAACTGTTGAAACAACTTCAAGGAAAATGACACCAATATAAACTTGACATATTGTTCTCACATGAATCTTAGATAAGGGGCAGAGTGTTGTGCATACATTTGTAGAATTGGCACGGAACGCAATTATATCTTTTTTTTTCCCCTTGTACAGTTGCAAGTTAGCCTTGAGAACTGTTAAATACATTTTCAGATAATATACCAAAATTTATATTTTTCAACATTGCCAGAAAGAGAGAGAGCGAGAGAGAGCACAGTGGCAGAGAAGCAACATAAAAAAAGAGGAGAAGAAGAGGAAAGACAAGACATGTAAAATTTAGTACGGACTAACCTTGATTGTTACTGCCAGCGGATGGACGATTGATTGGTTGAATAGCACCTTGTTGTGCAGAAGCAGCTTCGCCAGGTGCACGAGCACTGAATATTAGCATGTCAGGATCAAGTCTTAAATCGAGGTTGAGACGTTGAAGTCGTGTAACGACGTTCATCGTAATATCTTGTTCCATAGCTTCCTTTTGTGCATTGAGCTTTTCCAGCAATTTTTGTTGCATCCTCTCTTCCATTTCCTTCATTTTTTGTTGCATTCTCTCATCAGTAGCATTTACAGAGGATCCAAAATCTCCTTTTTTCTTTTTTAAGACAGTCTTGTTAACTCCTCGTCTATACAATCTTACCCGACATGGGTGCTCAGGTCCCATGACTGATGCAAACGCGTCAACTGAATCACTACCATCTCCATTTTCTTGAGTTGATTGTATTCTCTCCATTTCAGCGTACAAACCAAATGCAAGAGAACAAAGTTTAAGTAAATAAAACTAAGTCAATAATTAAGAACAAATAAATAATTACGACAAACTTTAAATTAGAAATTTCGTACAATTTTACTAATTGTATTCTCATAAGAGCCTTTGTATACTCGACCAGGTTTACTTTTTCTTGTAGCCACAAAGATGTCCTTACTTGATAGAGTATCCGAAGTATCAACCATTTCCTTCTTTTTTTCCTAGTCACGTGAAAACTCGTATAAGAATCTTTTCATGCAAAGTTAGCAAGTTCATACTTTAAGAAAAATAAGAGAAAAAAATCAAATCTCGATGATTAGAGCAAAAGGTGTTTTGCCAGCAGTGCGTGGATGCTTCAACTTTTTTCTGGATATTGGTTTTGAACGTTTTCTGCAAATAAACAAGCAATTAGTTTCAGCTATTGTTTCTGGAAAGCTTTAAAAATCACATTTTTCTTTTGAAATCCTCTCTGTTAGGTCTACTGTTGTTCAACAAGTGAGAAAAACCAACAGAGATTCATCAAGACACAATATCTTATTCTTCATCTCTCTCGTCTCAATAAGGTAACTACATTTAACTAATTTTCTTATGCCATTTCTTACCATTAAACCAGTAACCACTTCATGTTCTTGCACTTTAATTAAGCTACTACTCTTACACTCATAGTCTCATGCTAGCTTCAAGCTGTTCTTTTTGTATACTAACCTTAAGCTCTTTTTGTATTTTTGTTTACAGGGTACTGTTGTTAATGGCTAGTCTTAGCTACTACTCCAACCAGAGGCGGATCCAGGATTTGAGCCTTATGGGTTCCTACCGTAATTTTAGATCAATATGCAATAATAACGGGGTCCGTAATTAGATATTTACAAATATTTAGTGAATTTCTTAATATAAATACAGGGTCTACGCAAGAGTTACTGGGTTCCCGGGAACCCGTATTCTATGCTCTAGGTCCGCCCCTGACTCCAACTCCAACTTGGAACCAAATATGCAACAACTCAACGAGTTTCTTTTTGGTTTCAACTGTGACCAGAGCTTTCCTAAACCAGAGACTTGCTATTTCGATCCATTTTTCGACTCCAGCGAGTTTGTTTTCCCAGCAGTGGAACCAAATTATAGCTCTTCTTTAGTGCCAGAAATCCAAGAGTACTCTGATTTTCAGATGGATACTCTAAAAGCTAACTCATGACAGGTAGCTAATTTGTTATTTAAAGTGAGACTCCGGAACAAAGTTGGCAAAAGTTGGATGTAATTACCTTGGCAGGATCGGAGTTCCAATATTCAAGAAGAGCTTTAAAGTGAGACGCCGGAACATCTAGCGGCCTATTCTCCATTCGAAGCTCGTCATTCTCATATGCTTCAAAGTGCTTTTGCTTCAACTAACTTTTATACTTTCTCAAGCAGTACAAATTGAATCAAAAACCCATTTCTTCGCCTCTTAAGGAATGTCACATTTTTCCTACAAATTTAGTGTAATTAGGTTAGTATAAGAAAATATGAAATATCATCCACGCTTATTGAACATTAGGAAATTCAAACCTTGACATATTTCCAAATATCATTTTTTGTATCTACTTTCCTCCAATCAAATACATTAAGAGGACAAAAGGTCCCATTCCTCCCCAATGTGCCGAGGAAGCTACCCAACTCTTTCACAACATCATCAGTAGGACCAATGGGTTGATTAAACTCATTTAGCACGAATTTTTTACGCTCCTTCCTTCCACGCACACTTTGCATTTGAGTAGTGCCTCTTTTTCTTTTTGGCGCGGAAAGGCCTGCACTGATACAAAACAAGGATAATCACCAATCATCATTGTTAGTTAATTTTATGATTAAAATTTATATATACTTTCCTGGTTCCTCAGGTTGTTCAATTGCTTCATGATTGGTAGAATCTTCAGATGGTTCATGCACAACTTGTGATGTAGGAGTGATGGAATCCATTGGCACTTGCCACACTTGTTCTTGTACTCCTTGTGCTGTAGAAGAGGTAGAATTCAATGGCACTTGCCGCACTTTTTCTTGCAATTGAGATCTTTGCGAAACCTTTTTAGATTCTGATTGTCTTTCTTCATTTTTATTAGATATTATTGCATGAAAGGTTCTTTTTGTTGTCAACGATTGATTTCGCAAAAATACAAGTGATCGAGATTTTGATTGTCTTTCTTCATTTTCATTAGACCTTATAGCTTGAGAGGTTCTTTTTGTTGTCCATGACGAAACCCTTTGGTTTCGCAAAGATGCAAGTAATCCAGCTGGAATGCGGTTGGATATTTTTTTAATTTTTGCTTGAGTACCCTTCTTGATTCATGACTGCTAAAATCTCTGTCAGATTCAAAAAAGTAAAGGCGAAATAGGTTAGCAAAAGCATTAATAAAAAGCATTTTAAAGTAACTTCTGAATCAAATATCAAATAGGTTAGCAAAAACATTACCAGAATTATATTCCCGAAAACAATATCAGTTCCCTGTCAATTAACACAGCAGTAGCAACAAAGTTAATAGATCCCAAATCCTGCTAAATTGAAGCATATCAGAATAATAATCTACAAAATAAATATTGACGCTTCTGGATAAGATCGATTGCGTACAAACGCCTTGTACTTACATAGGTTTCTCTCAATGGGATACACCCAACGAAGATGAGCCGGACCGCCAAGCTTAATTTCATTCACCAAATGAACATGCAAATGTGGCATTATGTCAAAAAATGTTGGATGGAAAATTTTCTCAAGCTCACATGTTATTTCAATGCATTTTTTCAAGATCTCTTTTCCTTATGACCTTACTACATATAGCTCTAAAGAAATTTCCCAACCTAATCAAGGCCAATGAAACATTCTTGGGTAACACTTTTCGAACAGCAACCTGGAGCAAGTAATGCATCATAGAATGAGCGTCATGACTCTTGTACCCTGATATTTTCATCTCCTTCACATGCACGCGTTCTGAAATATTTGAAGCACACCCTTTTGGTAATTTAGCATTTTTCATGACAGTACAAAACAAACTTTTCTCTTTTTGTTTCATGTAGAAACAAGATTTAGCCAAACTTATAATTCAATACTTATTTGTTTTTGGTTGTAGCTCCTTTCGTATCCCCATTTCTTGTAAGTCATAGCGAGAATTATCATGGTCCTTTGACATTCAATTTATTTCAAATAAAGTCCCGAGCAAACTATCATATATGTTTTTCTCAATGTGCATCACATCAAGATTGTGCCTCAATTTGTTATGCACCCATATGGCAATTCAAAAAAAATGGATCTCTTTTTCCACGGACCCTTAGCACTCCGAGGCCTTTTTTTAGTTCCCTTTCCAAATATATTGTTGAATTCAATCAGCTCTTCAAACACTTCCTCACCCGACAAAGGAGCAGGTGCAAGTCTACGCTCCTCTTTACCATCAAATGACTTCTTATCTCTTCAAAATGAATGATCAAGAGGCAAAAATCTTCGATGACTGTAACGACCCGACCGGTCGTTTAAGAATTAACACCCCGATCCCCTATTAACTGCATTCCCCGTGTTTATTTCTGCTATTGTGAGTTGCCGGGAGGATTTATTTGGAGTTTGGAGAGTTTTGGGACACTTAATCCCTAAATGAGAGTCTAAGTTTTAGAATTTGGACCGTAGTCAGAACAGTGTGAAGACGGCCTCGGAATGGAATTTTGTTGTTTCCGTTAGCTCCGTGGGTGATTTCGGGTTTAGGAGCGTGTTCGGATTATGTTTTGGAGGTCCGTAGCTTATTTAGGCTTGAAATGCCGAAAGTTGAATTTTAAAGTTTCCGGTTCGATAGTGGAATTTTTATCTAAGGGTTGGAATGAAATTCTGGAAGTTGGAGTAGCTCCGTAGTGTTGAAGGTGACGTGTATGCAAAATTTCAGGTCATTCACACGAGGTTTGATAGACTTTTTGATCGAAAGCATAATTTGTGAGTTTTTGAAGTTCTTAGGCTTGAATCCGATGCTAATTGGTTGATTCGATGTTGTTTGAGGTGTTTTGAAGATTTGTATAAGTTTGGATAGTGGTATATGACTGGTTCGTGCTTTTGGTTGAGGTCCCGGGGGCCTCGGGGGTGGTTTCGGATGGTTAACGGGAAGTTTGGAGTTGGGAATTTCAGCTGAAGCTGCTGAGTTTCCTGTCATAATCGCACCTGCGTGAATAGGACCGCAGGTGCGGCACCGCAGAAGAGGCTTATGGACCGTAGAAGCGGAATTGGCTAGGCCCCAGGGAAACCGCAGGTGCGGCTGGGTGACCGCAAATGCGGGACTGCAGATGCGGCCAAAGAACCGCAGATGCAGACCCAGCCATTTAAGACATTTACGCACCTGCGATGTCTTTTCCGCTGGTTCGGGACCGCAGGTGCGGTCAGTGCATCGTAAATAAGGAAATAGCTGGGCAGAAATAGGAAAATTCGAGGCTTTGAAATCAAAACTTGGAAAAACGATTTGGAGCTCGGTTGAGGGCGATTTTTAGAGGATTTTGAAGAGGAAATCAGTGGGTAGCGATTTATAATCCCTTTATATTTGTAATCCTATAATCTAATCTTAGTTTTGTCATTTAATTTCGGATTTGGGATGAAAAATTGAGGAAAAGTGGAGAAAAGTTCTTAGGCCTAATTTTGGGGTTTGACCTAGATTTCGATGTCGGGTTGGAATAATTTTGGTATAAATGAACTCGTGAGAGTATGAGGATTCTGAATTTATAAATTTTATCCGATTCCAAGACGTGGGCCCCGGGGGGCATTTTGGTCATTTTTTTCCTAATTTCGCGTATTAGCTTAGAATTTATTAGTTAAATTAGTTACTTGAAGTGTTATTTACATTATGCAACTACTTTGAATAGATTTGGGCCATTTGGAGTCGGATACTCGTGGCAAGAACGTGGTATAAATTTGATTGAGCTGGTTTGAGGTAACTGGCTTGTCTAACCTTGTGTGGGGGACATTCCCCCTAAGATTTGGTATTGTTGTTAAATGAAATGTCGTGTACGTGAGGTGACGAGTGCTTACACGTGCTAATTGTTGGAAACCCATTTTTTATTAAGTAAATTAACTGTGTTTCTTTCTTCTTGAACATTACTTGTATTTTTAAGCCTACCGCGTAGTTTAGGGAAGCATGTTTAAGTGTATTAATTGTCCTATATGCTTAAACTGTTTATGTGAACACTGTGCAGCATATTAGACTAGAATTACCTGTCCATTTTAATATTAATTTGTTTGAGTTGATTATCCTTGTGTTGTTGCTGCGTGTTTACATTGGGACTACGGGTTGTTCCCGGTAGATCCCCCTTGTCTGGTTATTTGGGAGTACGGATGTGGTATTCCG